CACTTTCAGTGCGTCCTAATCACTGGTCACAGATTCCCATAACATAGATAACAATAGTGAAAAAATTTGAAATATTGTGAAATTACCAAAATGTCATACAGAGACACAAAAGTGAGCAAATGCCGTTGGAAAAATGGTGCTGATAGACTTGCTCAATTCAGGGTTACCACAGACCTTCAGTTAAAAAAAGCAATATCTGCAAAGTGCAATAAAACAAAGTATACCTGCAGTAGCCTAATGCTCTACCACAATGCCTACCTATATCATTCATTTCATCTCATCATGTAAGCATTTTATCTTCTCACATCTCAAGGCAGACTACAGTACAATATTTTGAGACCACATTCATGTAACTTCTATTCTCGTACATTACAATTATCCTATTGTTAATCTCTTAGCATGCCTAATTTATAAATTAAACATTCTCATACTTCTGTATGTACAGGGAAACACATGCTATATATAGGGGTCTGTACTACCTGTGATTTCAGGCCACCCAGTGGGAGTCTTGGAATACATCCCCTGCAGATGAGTTGAGAACTCTACCATATTTACATCACAAATCATTTCCTGATTGAAGATTAAGTGAGCTCTCCAGTTCTCTGACTTTGGGTTCCTCTCATTGTGGGTTTCCAAGGAAGGTTGGGACTGATAGATCTAATGAGTGGTAGTGGATGGGGAGGTGACCTGAGGAGAGCTTCTAACCTCTCTGTTGCTCATGTATTCCTTCTGTAGTCTTTCCCTGGCCTGTGCTTTGTCCTTTAGAATGTGAAGTTGTTTTGTTTGTGCCGATGTCAGGGAAGGGTATTATATATATGTATAAGAGATACATAATCTATACCTTAGTTGATGAAATGAAACACCTGAATTAAAACAACCACTTGTTAGATTGAGTGTCTCCTACTTGATTCTGTTGCTTTTGTTGCTTTCCTCTTCTTCTTCTTCTTCTCCTTCTTCTTCTTCTTCTTCTTCTTTTTTTTTTTTTTTGGCTCCCAGTTAGATAGGGGAAAGTCCATGATGTTGAAATTTTAGTTCTTCTGAGCAAGGAAGAATTAGGAAATAAAGATGGCAGGAAAAAAAAACTTCTTAAAAAAAAGTTTACTGCTTGTTCTATCCCAAATTGACTATTAAGTCAACCAGGACAATTCTAGTGACCCCATGTGGAGGGGAGTTTCCTATCTGTTCCATTGGGTGTAAGAAGACATTCTGATAGAAATATTTTTGGAGTGTTATTTTTGATTTTGTGCCAAGGATTAAAGAGAGTCAGACTAGGAGGAAAAAATGAGCAGGGTATTTCCACCCCACTGTCGTGTGATGGGACTCAGAATAAATTGGCTCTGCTTCTGAGCTCCAGCATTAGCTGGTTCTATGACCTTGGATAACTCATTTAACTATTTCAGCCTCAGTTTCTTCATCTGTAAAATGTTGAGGGTAGATAAAATGCTCCTTTTCATCTCTAAAAATATTTTAAGACCAAGGTATTGAAATGTTTTTTTTTAAATTTCATAGCTGTTGTTTTTTTCATTTTCCTTTTTATTTTTTATTTTTTGAGAGTGAGCCAGTGTGCACACAAGCAGGTGTTGGGGGAGGCAGGCAGAATGAGAGAGAGAGAATTTTAGGCAGGCTCCATGTCCCACACAAAGCCCAATGCAGGGCTTGATCTCACAAGCCTGAGATCATGACCTAAACTGAAACCAAGAGTTGGTTGCTTAACTGACTGAGCTACCCAGGCACCCCAGTAATGAAATGTTTGATTCCTAATCCACTCTTTGTCCAAAGTTGAGCAGTTCCCTATTGCTAGGAAGTGAGAAGGGATAAAACATTTTGGGAGGTTAGGAATCTTGTATTATTCAGGAGATTCTTTAATTGATCTTCCATTAGAAACACAACTGTCATTGCCAGAAGTGTAATGAGAATCTTAAGTCTAACAAAACTTTTAAAATCTGTACTTCTTTTCCTACCAGAAATTCCAGACCTTTCTTAGAAAACTCAGGAATGGATAAGGAAGTCACTGCTAAGGGAAATGGTTTCTAGCTCTGTGCCTCCCAGTCTGTGTCAGGTGTTTAGGATAGACTTTCTTCTTGATTAAGCATAAGTCCTTATTCTTGCATATTCTTTAATCCTTAAAAGCCCTTCTTTATTGTTTAGTCCCTAAGAAAATAAAACTTCATAGTAGCACTGCCCAGAGGAAAGAGAAGGAAAAAGCAGTGGAATGGGGTGGAAGAGGTGATAGGCTCTTTATTTTTTTCTGTGCGTATGTGTGATAGGCTCTTTATAACGTTCTTTGTTGTATTAACTGTTCGTATTTGTAGTGGCTAGAAGGAATACAAATTGTTCTTTGTTTGCATTTGGTGCTATATCAAAGAAATGGGAGGAATAAAGGTTAGGGATATTTGTTACAACTTGAGTTTGAATCTGTGTCTGGGTTTTTTTTGTTTTTTGTTTTTGTTTTGTTTTATTCTAAGGGTTGAACTCCCTGCAGCTGGCATAATATCACATGTAGTGTTAAATGTGTCTTTCAGCCAGCCTTTTTAGGTTGGCTCTGTAGGGAGGATTGTGACATGGTTTCTATGTGTTTTGACCTTAAATCATGTAGATTGATAGGCAGTTGTTCTGCAGAGGGACTCTTTAAGCTTGATGGGATGTTTGTTCAATTAATTTTTTATTTTTTTTATCGTTTTCATGTAGACAAATCTCAAGAAGCCACTATAGTTATTTTTAAACCTTGCAGTTACATTTGTTGTTACCTCATTTTGGCATTTGCCCAGAATATAAGTTAAATTTCCATTGCTAATTTTTAGGAATGTGACTGAGAATGCTGGCTTTCAGGATCTAACTTCAGCAACAAAGCAGCAAGTCTGTAGATGTCTACGATCCCAACAAAAACTTAAAAAAAAAAATCATTATAAAGTTCTTGATCTATTTTAATCCATGTGTGACACAGAATCAAAGAATTCATGTGTTCCTTGATTTAGAGGTTTTATATTTAGTGGATTTTTCTTCCAAATTCTTTCTTAAATATTAATATGGGCGTTGGCTTAAAGATTGGGGGAGAGATATCCCAGGTATACCTGGGGCAGGAGATTTGGGGCAGGGGGATTTTAAACTGTGACATATTTTAGAATACAATTAAGTCAGCCAAGGGATGAACTCATATAGTTAATGTCATGTTGACTCTAGTTTAAAATGTTCTGCAGGAGTTTTTAGTTACCTATCATAGTTATGCAAACATGCTCATCCATTGTCATGAATTTTTACATAGGATAATCAAGTTGCCTCTTACTAGTGGAAACATACATTTAGGTTATTTATGGAACACACAGGTGTGTTTCTTAGCTCAAAGAAGTTATTTATGGACCACTGTTTGGGTCACTTAAAATTTTTACTGGAGTCTATAAACTTAGTTGTGTTGTGGTTTATGCCTATAAAAAGAGCACCATTAAAAAATGGCTATTTTAGGATTAGATTATGTGCTCTCACCAAATTTCTTTTTTTTTTCCTTCTTGGGTTTAAACATGACAGAAAACAGATTTAAAAAGGTTTTTGAAGAGCTTGAAGGTTAAATAGCCCATTTGTTAACACTTTTAGGTATTTGGGAGAAGGAGAAGCTGTCTACATTAAATAAATTGCTTTAAGAGTTACATAATTTACTAATTTCTGCTCTCAAAACTATCCTAAAAATATTATGTTGGCTTTAATTCTGTTTAAATGTTTTCTTCTGTCCAGATAACAAAATAATTTATGGTGGGGATGCCTGGTGGCTCAGTTGATTAAACATGGGACTCGATTTTGGCCCAGGTCATGATCTCAAGGTCCTGGGATTGAGCCCCAGGTTGGGCGGCATGCTCAGTTTAGAATCTTCTTGAGATTCTCCCTTCTTCTTCCCCTCCTCTTTTCCTCTCCCCTTAGTCTTGCCTCTGAAATACATAAATCTTTAAAAAAATAATTACGGTGTGTAGGAGGTAGTATTTTTAGTTTTATTGAAATATGATTCTACTAAATCAACATTTGTAGGATTGATTAGTTGTCAAAAACATGTTTGAACATAAACGTCAAAACTACGTTTATAAAATGACTTAGTTACTGAAGAAAAAGGGTAAGGTGAACAATATAGTCTGATTATCCCTTATTTAGATAGGTAATTACTATCTAGATGGTTAAAGCATGTAAAAGAACCTGTGTTGGCATTTTTCTTCCAAGGTAGTTAGACCTGGGATGTTTTCTTTTTCTCTACTTTTCTGTTTCTGTTTTCATCTATCAGGCATTTCTGTCACCATTAGTGAGTCACCTTTATTGAGATCCATCTGTCACAGAGATGTCCAGCTATGCCAAAAGCCCTGATAGTCTTGTCTGACACAGATAAACACTGTAAAGTCTTGGCTGAAATTGAGGACAAGAAGCAGGGAAGCAGCCCCTGCATCTTTTTAAGTGAAAATTTTGACCATAGAGTTGCCAGTATCTCTCAAGTTTTTCTTTAGTAAGGGATGTGAAACTGGAGTGGCTTCCCTTCTAAAATGGAAAGAATTCCTTAATTTTTTCATGTGGCCTGGAGGGGAAGGGATTTTTTGCTTCTGTGAAGTTGCTAAACCCCTTCGGTTCTCTTATCGGGCAGCAGTTCCATAAGGGAAATTTCCGTAAAATATACCCTTATTCCAGTTCTCATTTTTCTCCAGCTTTGATGGCTAAGAGGGAAACATTAGTAGAGATGGAACTATACACACAAATGAAGATTAATCCTTTTAGTCCCACCTGCCCCTTCTTCCCAAAAGTCTTTATTAGTGTTTTAGATATACTAGGAATGCATATAGGTGTACCAAATTTGAGGCCGTATGATTATATAGTCCTAATTAGTTGACACTACCGAAATCCTTCAAGTGGATGATAGCACCATAGGATTGAGCCCTTCTCATTTGCTGGCACACTAGAAATAAATCATTTATAGCTTACCAGCTGTTTGAATGGCTGTCTGATTTTTCTGTTGGTGGTTTTATGTTTTTAAGATCTTAGCAAAGCCATGTCTCAAGATGGTGCTTCTCAGTTTCAAGAAGTCATTCGACAAGAGCTAGAATTATCTGTGAAGAAGGAACTAGAAAAAATACTTACCACAGCACCATCACATGAGTTTGAGGTAAGGATTTTACAATGTTTTTTGCTTCCATCCACCTGCATACTGAGTTGCTATTGCTGCTGTTGATCATCCAGCCTGAAATACAAAATATAAGAGCAATAAAAACATTAGGATTACTTAACACTTAAGGATTTTCAACATTTGCCCATTGTTAAGCCATTGTCCTTTCTTTTTTTTTAATTTTAGGAAGTTTCTAAAGTATAAAAGAATCAGAACAAAATTTTATTTGTCCTGTGTTCTAATATCATTGGGTAGAAAAGCTTAGAATTGTGAGAAGTTTATCAACCATATATCCTGCTGCATGCATTTTTCCAGAGAGCCAATTCTAATAGAACCATGCTACTTTGTCAGCTATAATAGCAGTTTCCCAGCATAGACAGGTATTTTTACTTTTTATACTTATAAATCAATAGATCATCCTTTTCATTTTCATATTTTAGTTTGTACTTAATGTTTTGAGTTTAGTTGTGTTTTATTCCTTTTTCCTTAGGTAAAGATTAATTTTCACTTAAAAGAGGTAGAGAAAGATATTGACAAATAAATATAGAGAACCTATTGAAATTCTCATGGACCAAATAGTGTTCAGGTTACATGATACTGGTGGGAAATTTGGAAGATTATTTGCTTGCATTCCTTTAAGTGTGGTTCTTAGCTTTTCTTCCTCTTTTAAGTGGGGGGTATAAAAAGTCTCTGCTGTACTTCATGTTCTCATAGTATAAGAATTTCATTGAAAGGTGTTTTAAGTGTATAATATGTATCTATATTTATTAAATAGTAGGCATTTTGCTAGTTGTAACAAGAACTTCTATTTTCATAGCACACTAAAAAAGACCTTGATGGATTTCGGAAGCTATTTCATAGATTTTTGCAAGAAAAGGGGCCTTCTGTGGATTGGGGAAAAATACAGAGACCTCCAGAAGATTCGGTAAGTTTTAGATAAATTGTAGGAAAATTTAAGGTAATTCAAGGCCTGGGTTTAAATTTGGGGGTGAGGTACTGTGGAGATACTATAAGAACCATATTTTAGACATAGACAGGAATTGCTTTGCATTCTCTTCCCTCATGCCGAAACTACAGAGATAGCCTACTGCTTTCCTTCCTGTTTGTTAGTCCTATCTTTTCAGTCCTGCAGGGGATTTATGAAAGTTTAATCTCCCTGTAACACTACCTCATAACTTAACATCCCTGAATATGAGGCAATTCTTTTGCAAAGTACCAAACACACAGTAAGAGCTTCATTTATGTTCCTTCTCTCTCCCAAACCATCTGATTTCTCACAGCCTATAGTGTCTTGTACAGATGCTATGTCATCTACTTAAAGCTCTCCTCATGCTTTCAACCCATCTTTATAGCCCTGTTTCCCCTGCCTGCATTTCACAGGTTGTATTTTCCTGCTTCTAGACTTTTGTATGTCATTTCCTTGGAATACTTTGGTCTGTTTACCTATCAAAATCCTGCTCATTCCAAATGCCTCCATCTCTGTCTTCAACCCCTAGCATAAATCTGCTTTGAAGAAGTGTAGTGCAGTAGTATTATAGGCACAAATCCTAGTTTTACTACTTATGAGCTTTATGTAAAATGAGAATAATATCAAGTGACTTAGGTATTTTACAGGGTTGCCATGAGGCTTTATTAAGAAACATATGTGGAAACATGTTAAACCATGAAGCATTTTTCAGGTACTAGTGGTAGTACATGTGGCACTTAGCTGGCTTGAGTACTAGTTGATTGTATGTGTGTATTTTCTTCATGCTAGACCTTGAAGTCAGGGGACCATGCGTCCTGAGCAAATGTTTGTTGAGTGGATGATCTAAATGCATTTATTGTCTAGAGAATACGTTTTGGTAAAGTATTGACTTTTCTTTCTCCTTTGACATCTGCTGCTTTGTAGTACTTTTCATTGCAGGTAGAAGAGACTTGGTAGAGTGGAGCAATTGTATGTAGATAGTTTATATCTTAAATGTCTATAATCTTTTTTTAGAATTTATTTTATTTATTTATTTGAGAGGGAGAAAGAGCAGTAAAGAGAGAGCAGGAGCAGGGGGAGATGCAGACTCCCTGCCGAGCTGGGAGCCCGATATGGGGCTGGATCCTGGGACTCAGTGACCATGACTTGAGCCAAAGGCAGACACTTAACTAACTGAGCTACTCAGGCACCCCTTAAATGTATACAGTCTTAGGTAATCCAATACTGGCTTTAAAACAATGCTGTTGAAAGCAGAGGTTTGTAAAGTACTGCCTGAAGGCTGTTCCACTGACCGTTTGTAAAGTTTTATTGGAACATAACCATGCATTCATTTATATACCATTTATTGTGGCTTAAGCTAATGGAGACTCTTGTATTTTTTTGCTGGGAAAATCTTACAGTTCCTGGTTAGGAGTGCTTTTATTTCCAGTATGTGGAAAATGCTTTTCAGTTCTTAAACTTGTTAAAATTCTGAATTATATGCTCAGTGTAAAAAATAAATAAATAAAATAAATAAATAAATCCCACCTAACAAAGGAGTCTCTCATTTTTGATATTGAAATTAAAAATCTACTTCCATATATTGCTTTCCAATTACTCTGTGTGTGTGTATGTGTGTGTGTATGTATCTATGTGCCTGTCTGTGTTTAAGGTCTGTTTTGGACTTTGATTCCTTGGCTTTAGTGAATGAATTATGATTTATTTTTCTGGTTTTAGTGTAGAATTAATAATATTTTCTCCTGAAAAACAAAAAAGAATAGAAGTCTTTAGGATAGTTAGTTTTTTAAAAAGGGGCTATTTGTAAATTCAGTCGGATTTTTAAAAATGTCTGGGAATAAGCCTAAAGTTATAACAAAAATTTAGGCAAGTGTATTTCTCTCCTTTTAAGTAACTATGATTTTTGCCTAGAAATGTATTCCTAACTGAAATAACTTAATTTTTCTAATTAATGATAGACCTGGGTGTAAAAGTGTAATTCTTGCTTGTATACTTGGACTTTGTTTTTTTCCTATATAAACTTAACCATTTGATGATAGAGCCTACCTTGAAAGAAAGAACACAGATTTGTTACTTTCAGTTTAAGGTTCAAGATTCTGCTTTGCCAGTGAGAAATCTACCTATCTGTTTTTATTTTATTTTATTTTACTTATTTATTTGAGAGAGAGAAGAAAGAGCAGTGGCAGAGGCAGAGTTTCTTTATTTTGAGAGAGGACTGTGATATAAAGAAGGGTTTCTTGAAATAGGCATTGCAGGGTACAGAAAGAAGGGAGGGAGGGAGGGACCAGAACCACCTAGGGATTTTTCCAGTTCAGTACTACCATCCCCAACAAGGTTCTCACAGACACTTTCAAGAGGCTGTGTGCCTATAGTGATAATTACTGAGAGTAATGCAGAGTTGATAGGGAAAAAGAATTAAGTAAATAGAATTCTGGCTTAATTTGATTTGTGAAGTCTTCTCTCTGTTTATAAAAGTATAAGTCTTCATTAAAAATTTTGAAACCTAGGTTTTAAGCATCTTTAAGAAAATACTTATAATCCCATATGCCCTTAGTGTTGAAGGTTTCAGAGTACAGAGGCAAAAGATAAGTTTGCTCTTTTATGTCCTGAGCTTCTTGAGGCCACAGATGTTACTCTGTATGTTAACAACTTTTGCAAATAGTTCTGAGATTATAGATCATGAGACTATGTTGTTCACCTTGCTTCCCTACATTTTTCTAGCTCCCTTTTTCCTTATCCCCTTACCTGCAGATTTTCTCTTTTGTCATAGAGATTATACACAAATCAATTTTCCTCTCAAAACACAACTTTCCTTAGTACACACAGGTTTTTGATTTTTAAATGCAGGTTATACTTTAGCCTTCTAACCAAAAAAGAAAGTATTGTGGGAGAATAATTATTTAGAGTAATATTTCTCATGTCAGCCTTGCATCAAAGCTGTGCTCATAAACATTGTCATTATAGGGTATCTCTGTTTTTGTATAGGAGTTAGCCAACTACCAGTTGGCCATCTTGTTTTATGAAGTTTTATTGGAACACAGCCTATAGCTACTGTCATGTGACAATGTGGAGTTGAAGAGTGAGAATTGAGGCCATGTGGTCTATACAACCTAACAGAATTCTGTCCTGGGCCTTCATGGAAAATTTTTGCTGAGCCTGTTTTAATATACTTATTCATAGAAGTTCTTCAGTAGTTTTCTTTACTTCTTTGGCGTCCAGGAAACTGACATGAAGTCCCCTTTTCAGTTCAGATGATTAATTTTAAGATAAAAATATTTTTAAAAATTTTATTAGACTGAAGGATATTCTTATAAGTAGGCATTGAAATTTTATGTTGTCATTTTACTTTAAATTTTTCTTATTTTTTCTTTTAAAAAAATTTAAATGCAATTAACATATAGTGTATTATTAGTTTCAGAGGTAGAGTTCAGTGACTCCTCAGTCTCCCAAGTGCTCATTACATCATGCACATTTTACTCTTGCCTACTATGTTAAATACTTCATTTTAGTTCTGGTCAGTAAGCATGTACATGTGTTTTTTTTTTTTTTAATCAAAACAACTTTTTGTTGAAGTGTAGTTGACACATAATGTTACATTACTTTCAGGTGTACAATATAGTGATTCTTGACATTTTTATACATTTTGCAATGCTCACCGCTCACTGCAAGTGTAGCTACATTCTGTCCCCATGCAGAACTACTATAATACCATTGCCTGTATTCAATGTGGTGTACCTTTTATTCCTATAACTTACTCATTGTATAACTGGAAGCCTGTATCTCCCGCTCGGCTCCCCTTTGGCAACCATGAGTTTGTTCTGCACATACACGTTCTTCTGAAATGCCTATTGAGTACAGGGGCGCCTCACTGGCTCAGTTGGTAGAGCATCTGACTCTTGATCCCAGGGTCATGAGTTTGATCCCCACACTAGGCATGAAGCCTAATTTAAAAAAAAAAATAAATAAGGAGTCCATATTTTATTGAATTATAGCTAAGAAAAAAGAACCCAATTTATGGAGTTATGGTATAGATAATGCTCTGCCTTTGTTTTCTGAATATTAACTATATAAATGTTATAATCAAAGTATATCTTGACATTCAGCTATATAAATAAGAGAAAGTCTTATGTATTAAGGTGTTTTGGATTAGAGCAAGGAAGGACCAATTGGCATATACAGTTTCATTTGACCATTTTATTGTTTTCTAGAGAGTCTGTGAATATCTCATTCCTGACCAAGCTTAATGTTTGAGTTTATATGTTGGATGTAGAAGCGTGGGAACTAGATAAAGAAACAAGAAGTTTTTTTTTAATTTAGATAGGAAGACAAGGTCCCTGGTTGACTTGATTGTCATTGTTCTTGTTTTAAAGTCTCCAAAAGGGCGGGGATTTATTTGTGAATGGGGAAGAGTTATATGGGCTCAGCTCTTTTTTTTTTTTTTTAATGCAGAGAATTGGCATATAGAATATCCTATAATGTGACTTTAGCTTCAACAGATTTTTTTGTTGTGCTCCATAAAATAGAGATCTTTTCTTAGTCTATCAGTAAAAACATTAAAATGTGTATGTTTAAATGATAAGGCATCCAGGAAAGTTAGTATATGTGTGCAGAGTAAAAATACATAATGTTTTTTTTTTTTTGGAAGATGAATCATATTGTGCAGCTAATGTTTGCACATCCTTTTTGAAGGACTTACTGGAGATAGTTTGGCTAAAGATTCAACATGATATGACACAAGACGGTTTGCTTTGAGTATCCTATGTCAAGTGAAAGTTTTCCAACTGTAGTCAGCAAGTGATATAGCCATTAGAGACTTGTTTTATGTGTTTACAAAGAAAAATAAGATCTTGAATGTCAAAGTACTCCACAAAAAGGAAATAGTGATATTTAAGAAAATGGTCCCAAGAATATGGCTGGATACCAAAGAATCTATCTTTTCCTTGATAAAAAAAAAGTTTTAA